TTGTTCATGGACTTGCTTTTAATTAAGTAATACAGTGGTTGTTCAAATACTCTTACTTCTATTCTATGGTTCTTTGCTTTATCCCATGGAAAAATGGGGGAATTTTGCAAGGCCTTAATTATGGAATTTTAGTAATTAAAGTTTATACAAGTCATGTTGGTTCATCTTGGGTTAGGATATGTTCAAGCATGATTATCGTGATAGCATGCCATACAATAAGAACACGATATGTTTAGGGAGGATAGATTAACTTGTATTGTTCTAATGCAACGTTTGGTAATAGTCAATATCATAAATATGTAAAGAATTGAAAATAAAAATAAAAATAAAGCTATCACATATTTTTTAATTAATAATTCTCTTACTTATATGTAAATTTACTCATAAAGTGATTACATCACTTGTAAGTGTTGTTTTAGTTGCAAGATTTTTTACTTGTAAAGTATATTTTTCACTGTAAGCGATTTTTGTTAGTTATGTGTTATTTTTTTTACTTACAAGTTATTATTTAACTTACGAAATAATTTTTTTTTTATCTATAAACGATTTTACTTAAATATTACTTTTTATTTAATGAGTATTTTTCAACTTATTGTTAGTGAAATTTAACTCTAAAGTAATATTTTTTTATCCACACGTTTTTAAGACTCACAACTACTACTTACTAATTTTTTTTTTTTTATGCATCACAAATTATATCCACTTAAATAAAATATATCTTGCCAAACATCCACGTCAACTATGCAAGATGCCAGCTTGTAACGAAATAAATTAATTCCTAATTAGCAATTAACTTCCGCATGGAATGTAACCTCCATTAAATAGTAATCCTAACGTTTGTTCAACGAAGCAAGATCCACAAATTAATCATACACGGAGTTTAAATTATAGCAAAACCTAACGTGTTTGTTCAACTACGCAAGATGCCAAACTCGGAAATGAAATAAATTAATTAATTACTTATTAGTCAACTAAGCAGGATCCACAAATTAAGATGCATAGATTATAAAATAAGCAATTCTAACACGTTTGATTATTTTAAGGAAATTTCCAAGAGATACTTGAAATACATGAGTTTGGCTCAATTTTCTTGCACTTAATATAAGCAATTTGATTTAAGTTTGTCTCTATTTCTGGAATTATGGGGAGCCTAAATGGTGAGTTTAAACATTGACGTTTTTTTTTTTGGACACGTGTCTTTCGACAATGATCTAAATATTCACGATCCTCTTATAAAATTGGGGCAAGTTTTGCAGTATATTTAACACTATTTACACTTACTCCGACGTGTGATGTAAATAATATTCTTTGAAATGAATTTTATGAGTTAAGGTAAAATTAGTTAGGTAATGGTTGATTTGCATTTTCATTTTCAAAATGAATTTTAGTTTTTCGACATTTATAACTGAAACGTTGAAAATGATAAAAAGTCATTTTGTGTTTTCAATTATAAATTTTAACTCGTTTTCGAAAATGCGTTTTCAAAAACAACGGACCAAACGCGTTTTTCGTATTTTCGAAAATAGAAAATGGGCCGAAAACGACAAACCAACCACGGCCTAAATATTCTGTGAATGAATGAGTTTACTTTTATAAGGTACATCATTCATCTATAAAGTTAGTATTATAACATGCAAAATTAGGGTTTAATTCAACCTAAAAAGAAAATCTCAAAGCAAAGAAGACTGGCCTACCGTCCAAAAAATAAAGGAAAAATAGATTTTTCTTTAAAGAATAGTTTCTTTATTTCTATACATATTTTAAAATTTGACACACGAAATTTCTAACCACGAGGAATAATTATTTGTCTATTCTAATACCATGAAAATAAAAAATATATAAAAAAAAATACTGAGAATTTATTCACGGTTATTTTCAATCTCGAAACATTAATAAATATCTAATAATGAATGGGATTTGAATCTTTACACTAGCTTATCAATTTGTCTACTCCAATCCCGATATAAAGACAATTACAGGAAGACATACAAATTCTATAGAAAAAATTTGTACTTATGGCATTGCCAAAAAATAGTTTTTTAAAACAGCAAATAACAAGAAGTCAGCTGATACCAATTCCGTTAGCAAAAATCTGTACTTGTCGCGTTGTCCATACAAAAAAAAAATGAAGGTAATATGAAATTCTATAAGGCTAAAATATTCTTGAATGAGAAATTAATCTCTCAAATTAACAATCATCTAACAAATCAAGCTCCAATTAGAATGGCTCAATAATCCTATAAATAAGGTACCATACGTGAAATTTCAGAATCCAAATCATAATACTTCTCTTGCTTGTTATAGAAAACAATGTTAAACTTTCCAACATGGTTCCAGCGGCGGAGGGAGGGGACAAGTCTGGGCTTAATTATTAGAGGAAAAGAAAATTTAATGAAATTTTTTTCTCTGTGTCAAAAAAAATAAAAATAAATAAAAAATTGTCCCCCCGGTTCCACCCCTTAATTGTTCCCCTTGTTTTCTTAGATGATAATGCCATTATAACATCCTTATAGAACCCTGGAATAAAGTGCCTAGCACCCGAGTTTTCCTCAATTGTAGTTCACAATTTTACGTGAAAACGGGCATGCAAAACCATGTTCCGGTACAATAATTTGTCAGGTTTCATTCGATTTGTTGTGAATTGGATGATGGAAAAACCAACA